ATGACTGTCGTATTGATAACAGGCAGTTTTGGGGAAGTACTACTGGTAATCTGCTTCATATGCTCATCACCATTATCACAAAAAAAGGCTTAATGTCTGACATTGGATCCCAGCTGTGCCACTGTTAGCACTCGTCAGCTGTCCTAAGGGGTCTATCCAGAGTTATCCCACAAATTGACTATTTTTATACCTGTGAATAATTGCACCTCAGCGTTGACAGCATGTGAAGCGCAATATGTTCTCACTCAACTCTGATGGGAAGGGAACAATGATGACCGTGTACAGTGGGGCTTGAATAGGAACAATTGAACATACCTTTCTCCTGATGTCTGGGCATGAGTTTTGTTGGGAAATCAAAAACGTCATGACATGTGAAAGTCATTTTCTCAACTAAAGAGTACTTGTAAGACGGACTAGAATCACAAAAACATATACTTCTTAGTGGTATAGAAAATGTATATACTTTTACTTACTATTTCCATCTCAAACCTTTATTCTGCCTCTATTTCAATTAAACAGAGAAGGATTGAAATCAGTGAGACATTGAACACGTCTTTTCAAAAACACTGAGATTGTTTTGATTGTTTGAGTTTTGGGTGTCTGATTATTTTTGAACTGTATCTCTCATTGTGCCAAAGTTCTCCTCTATTTATTTCTAAGTTACTGTAAAAACTTTCAGACTCGAGAGCCTGTGAAACAGCATTAATACCGTCAACAAAACTTGAGCAAACTCTTCCTGAAAGCCAGACTAATGAAGTCTAATCAGGGCGAGCCGCTCTTTAAAAGCGAAATAAATGGCAGACAAAAACATAATTGCTTTTTAATGAACCTAATATTTGCTACAAACAATAATTAAATGAAAAATGTGTTCTGAGAATTAAAATTAATTGCACATTTTACAGGCTGTTGCGTTTTGGCACCTCCATCACTTTGTACATGAATGTCAAAACTAACCGATATGTCATTTTTTATGAAAGACCAACAACCAAAGAATCAGCCAATGAAATGGTTGCTAACAGTTGTTATCGGGGGCATAGATTTGAGGTGGTATTGCCCTACCCCTAACTCCTGTATGCCACTAACATCTATTGGTAAACTTCATTAGCGTTAGAGGTTCAAAAACGTAATGCGACGACCTCTAGTGGCCATTGTCGTTATGACGGATTCAAAGGAGGAATCTGGTCAATGTAGAATAAAGTGTACGGCTCAAACAAACACAAGATGGTTACCTTTTGCTCTGCTCATTCTCACAGATTATGAAAGTGACTTAATACCCGAGAAGTGAATTAGTTTGAGCGAAAAAATTTAGGTCGAAAGGTTTTCACAAGTAACCAGTTCTCAAGACGATGAAAAGCCAAATCACGAGATTGCCTTTTGGGCCAATAAGCTTGGTTTCTTTCTGTCTGCATTCAACCAAAGCCTGATTTAATGTAATTCTTCACTTCTACCGGAACGCTTCATCTCAATATTAATGCAACATAAAATAAACACATATTTTTAAACATATTTGTTTGAACCCAGACCATCTTTCCTAAACCTAACAAACTGGTTTTGTATTTGTTTCAATTGCAATGTTCACCATGTGTTCAAAAGTAGATGGTTTGCCTATTTATTACTCATCCAAGACTTTGTGACGACCTTACGTAATCCAGTCCAATGTTCACTCTCATGTTAGCTCTTTAGCTGTTAGCATTTTAGCTTGTTTTGGTCCCCCACCAACACTGTGGTAAACTCTTTGTTGGCTTAGCTTTTAAAAACTCTACTTTCCATTAGTTAGGTACTATCTGTACTGTTGCTTTTTATTCAACCTTTTTGATTTTCTCTGAGAATAACTGCTTGCTGCTGCTGGAGAAGGAGAACCAAAACAATGAGTTACAACTCTAAAAACTCTCTGAATAGCGGAGGGGAACTACAGAGTTAGTTTATTGGGTTGAATATAGTACTAGAATAGAGTCAATTGCTTCTGTGTTGTAGCGCGATCACATGACTACAACATCCTCTCAGATTCATCTCCGTCCTTTCTAATGGAAGTGCTTTCTGAAGATGAGTCAGATGCCGTTTTTTTTCTTTTCTCGACCTATTGTGCCATTCACAGTTTCCATTACGCTGAGCAGCAAGTGCCCCTTACACATTTCTTGATTTGTAGTCACACATTATATACAGTTGATGTGCCAGGAGGACGAGGCCACTAACAGAGAGTGCACGAACAGAGCCTTTGAAAAAGCCATTTTATTGAATATACGTTTTTCATAGCGACACATTGTATTCAACTATTATGATTACAGATCATAATGTGATTCATACTCTAAGAGAAAATCCTGTTTAGATATCAACATGAAACCTCCCCGGCTTGTTACAACTATTAAGATAATTACTTTTTTTATGACAAGTTTTCTGAAATGTTATGTTAAGTTATTAGTTCGGCGAATAACTGCCAATTCGCCGAACTTTCTAGAGCAGAAATCTGAATATTGGAGTGTTCAAAATCTATTTTTTAGACATTTAAAGTCAAAGCTTTTTGCATTGGGGATTTATGATATCTTTGGCTTTGCTCAACAAATAAGAATATTAAAACACCCATGTAAAAAAAAAACAAAAAAAAAAAAAACATTTTCACCAATCTTCTAGGTATGGGCTTTTTAATATTGATCATGTAGATCAGGGGTGTCAAACTGAAATACACAGTGGGCCAACATTAAAAAAATGGGTGCTAGTCGAGGGCCGGACTGGTTCAATGTTTATTGCAAAACGTATTGAAATTAACTTATTGCACATATTAAACCTGGAACTAACAAAGCTTAAATGATTGCCTATAAAAACAACATTAAACATTAAATAATCAGTTGCATTCATTTCTTATGGCTCTATCTGCAGCTTTTCCAGACTCATTTCTTATGATTACATTTTCCCACAGGCTGTCACGGTTTGTGAAACAAGCAGGACCCAAATGCAGATATAAACTGAAACTTCCTTTATTTCAAGGCTATGATATATACAATGACAAACAGAACACCCACCGCAGAACTAGTCA